CCCATCTGATGGCTTTTATTTGCTGCAAGACAAATTATGAGTAAACTAAGCAGTTAACACCATGGTCTAACATTTTCAAATCAAAACCACAGTGAACCAATGACAGTCTAAATCACAAAGGCAGATTTCCAAGGTTTCATAGGCAATGAACCTAAAGAACCACAGTGAATCTTTCTGTATCATTATTCCTCAGAATCACAGGTGAGTTCATGTCCTCAAGCTGCAGCGAGGAAGAGTGGATTACTGTCGCTGAAAAAACTTCTAAATATGTAACTTTGATACACAAGAATGAGCTGTCAGCAGTTAAATTAACGACCAGATTATGAGTTTAACAAATACTCACATACCAGGTGTGTCAGAAAAGTTCAAGGACTGGTGTCACAAAAGATAGATTTCCAATCCAAACTACAAACTACAAGTTTTCTCCTTCCCAGTAATCGCCCTGGAGTCTAACCCACTTCCCCAGCCTTCTCTGCCACCATGCACTCCTGGAAGGATTCTTCCGGGATCCTCCTCAGCTCCGTCGTCACAGCCATCTTGATGTCATCCACGTCTTCTAAACGGGTTCCCTTGATGACCCCCTTGAGCTTGGGGAAGAGGAACAAATCCCACAGAGCCAGGTGGGGGGAGCAGGGAGGTTGCTCCAGCACGGAGATGTTCTTCTCAGCCAGGAACTGTCGGATGCTCAGGGCGTCGTGAGCAGGCACGTTGTCATGGTGAAGCAGCCATGACTGGTCCTGCCACAACTCAAAGCAAACGCCGCAGGATCTCTTTGTAGACGTGCTGGTTGATCGTCTGAAGGGTAAAACTCCTAGTTTGTAGTTTGGGTCTGAAATATATCTTTTGTGACACCAGTCCTGGAGCTTTTGTGACGCACCTCGTACATGCAGGAAGCCTTTTCCCAACAAAACATTTAAAGATGAATTGCTGGGTAATGTGAATAAAAAGGATAAAACAGTGTGTAACATGAGGAATCAGTGAGTCCAAAGGAAAGATTAATTTAATGTATATTTAAAAACCTGTCAGACCAAAGCCCTGATTGGAGAACTAACTTTTAGTAGGTGGACTTTTGTCTGAATATCCTTCGATTCTAATACGAGGTAAATGCAGGTAACAAAGATGGCACCAACATTAGACTCAGCCTGTGGACTTGGATTCTGTTTTTGCATCTCATCACCTTAGAATGAAACTGTGGACTCAGTATCAGGTGCCACAACCCAAAAGGAAAAACAACAAATGGTGTTCCAGAGCGTTCTCATGGGGCATCTCAAAACGAAACAGAAAGCCAAACTCACTTCTATACATACACGGCAAATTACAAGAAATGGCCCATCACTTATACAGCAAAGGAAATGTACTTGTTTACCATCTTAACCACAGTGACGTGTGGATACGATAACATAAAGAAGATACTTTTTGTTTCATTCTGAGACCCTTGGCTCAGTCATTGGGAGCCACAGTGTGAGCCAGAAATTTAACTCTGACAAAAAGTAGAGCTGACCAAGTGTATTATCGTGCCAAATAAACATATTGCAAAGGGCTGCACGAAATAAGATCAATGTATGTATACGCGCCATGTGTTCACACTCAACGTGCAAACATTTGATCTAATGGATGGAGCCCTACATGCATGGGCAAGGCACTCATGCCATTTGAGAACTATGGCCACTACAAGGTTAGCACCATGGCTGAGGATGGCTGTTTTTGTCAAGTTTGGAAGAAAAGGGGAGTTTACACTTAGATTTACTGTATGATTTAAATTAGTTTGGGTATTAATTTGCAATTTGTTCAATGTAAGCATGTTTCTTTATGGAGTGGGCTCAGGTCTGTTCAGTGTTTATGTTATTTGTGCCTATTGAAGTAGAAAGACATACGATCTGTAGAGCTAATATACACACTTCAACTTATATATTGTAAGTCATGACGGCATTGCAATGCTAAACAATGTTATCGCACAAAGCAGACTTTCCTTATATAATTGTAACGGCCCTTCCTGCTCTCTCAGCCGGTTCCTCCAGCTGAAGCCTGCAGGCGACGACATAACACAGGCTTAATAAAGAGGTATCTCAGGCCCTGTCTTTAAAATGCCCAATGCCAGGTTCATAATAATCAGTGATTTCTAACATTTCTGACAGCTTTTGAAAACATTTTCCATCCATCCATCATCTATGCATCGCTTAATCCTCACTAGGGTCGCGGAGGGGCTGGAGTCTATCCCAGTTGACTTAGGGTGAAGGACACCAGTCTATCACAGGGCTACACTTAGAGACAGACAACCAAGCACACTCACATTCACACCTACGGACAATTTACAATCACCAATTAACCTTAACATGTTTGTGGACTGTGNTCATGTCCTCAAGCTGCACTGAGCAGCAGTGGATTACTGTCGTCAGCAGTTTAATCAACAACCAGATTGTGAGTTTAACAAATACTGTCATGCATGCAGGAAGCCTTTTCCCAACAAAACATTTAAAAGATGAATTGCTGGGTAATGTGAATAAAAGGATAAAACAGTGTGTAACATGAGGAATCAGTGAGTCCAAAGGAAAGATTAATTTAATATATATTAAAAAAAAACCTGTCAGACCAAAGCCCTGATTGGAGAACTAACTTTTAGCAGGTGGACTTTGTCTGAATATCCTTCAATTCTAATACAAGGTAAATGCAGGTAACAAAGATGGCACCAACATTAGACTCAGCCTGTGGACTTCGATTCCCACCTATTAATAAAGAGCCAAAGAAATACATTCAGAACAAAAGCAGGCGAGGAACTTATGATAAAGACAAAAAGCCCAAATTCATAAAAGAGAACTGACGGTTCTGTTGTCGTAACTCATCATCTGAGAACGAAACTGTGGACTCAGTATCAGGTGCCACAGCCCAACAAAACAAACAACAAATGGTGTTACAGAGTGTTGTCAAAACAAAACAGAAAGCCAAACTCACTTCTATACATACATGGCAAATTACAAGAAATAGCCCATCACTTATACAGCAAAGGAAATGTACTTGTTTACCATCTTAACCACAGTGAGGTGTGGATACGATAACATAAAGAAGATACTTCAGCATGTTCCTCTAACGTGATCTGTACTTTCTGTTTTATTCTGAGGCCCTTGGCTCAGTCGTTGGGAGCCACAGTGTGAGCCAGAAATTTAACTCTGACAAAAAGTAGAGCTGACCAAGTGTATTATCGTGCAAAATAAACATATTGCAAAGGGCTGCACGAAATAAGATCAATGTATGTATACGCGCCATGTGTTCACACTCAACGTGCAAACATTTGATCTAATGGATGGAGCCCTACATGCATGGGCAAGGCACTCATGCCATTTGAGAACTATGGCCACTACAAGGTTAGCACCATGGCTGAGGATGGCTGTTTTTGTCAAGTTTAGAAGAAAAGGGGAGTTTATACTTAGATTTACTGTATGATTTAAATTAGTTTGGGTATTAATTTGCAGTTTGTTCAATGTAAGCATGTTTCTTCATGGAGTGGGCTCAGGTCCGTTCAGTGTTTATGTTATTTGTGCCTATTGAAGTAGAAAGACATAAGATCTGTAGAGCTAATATACACACTTCAACTTATATATTGCAAGTCATGACGGCATTGCAATGCTAAACAATGTTATCGCACAAAGCAGACTTTCCTTATATAATTGGAACGGCCCTTCCTGCTCTCTTAGCCGGTTCCTCCAGCTGAAGCCTGCAGGCGACGACATAACACAGGCTTAATAAAGAGGTATCTCAGGCCCTGTCTTTAAAATGCCCAATGCCAGGTTCATAATAATCAGTGATTTCTAACATTTCTGACAGCTTTTGAAAACATTTTCCATCCATCCATCATCTATGCATCGCTTAATCCTCACTAGGGTCGCGGAGGGGCTGGAGTCTATCCCAGTTGACTTAGGGTGAAGGACACCAGTCTATCACAGGGCTACACTTAGAGACAGACAACCAAGCACACTCACATTCACACCTACGGACAATTTACAATCACCAATTAACCTCAACATGTTTTTGGACTGTGTGGGAGGAAGCTGGAGAACCCGGAGAGAACCCACGCTGCACGGGGAGAACATGGAGACTCCACGCAGAAAGATCCCGGGTGTCCTCACCGGGACGCGAACCGGCGACCTTCTAGCTGTGAGGCAATGATGCTAACCCAAAGACAAGATCAACTGCAAACACCTTTAGGATAAATGAGCCCATTTTAGAGATGGGATAAGCAACACTGCCGGCTTATTCAGGCATTCAGACAAAGTTTACTTCTACATTAATGTTCCTCAAAGCTTCATTCACACATGCTGGCGTGATGGAGAGGGCCTCACTGTACTCGCGATATTTGTCATTCACATGAGACTGAACAGTGCATCGTGTGATATATAATGCATAATAATGCACTGATCAACAAAAGATTAAATCCAACCGAATAGCAGCTTATCAATCTGTCCAATTAATAGCCTAGTATATTTATGATTTCCAAACACTGACAACTTTACCAACAGTGATATAAAAAGTATCCCAAAAGATGGGAAGAAGCTCAGGACAGCATGACGTTCAGACATATGTCATGTTGAAAGTGATATGGAAATGTTACTAGGTCCAGGATTGCTGCCAGAGCTTTTACAGAAAGTGACCAGAGTCATTCAGACGGGACACTGACACCTTCAGTTGCTGTTATATTATGTGATTGCCGGAAAGCGACGACAGAAATATAACAGCTGAGCAGAATGTCCGAAGAGGAACAACACATGAAGTAATCCTACATCTGAAAGCCTTTAAAAGATGGAACAAACGTAACAAAGAAGGCCACAAAATCACATCCAGCCCCTTGACTTCCTATCTATTAATAAAACATTAAAGAAATAAATTAATATAAAAAGTAAATAGGAAATACATGACATAAACAAAACATTAAGTAAAGTGAAAGTACCATCAGTGAAAGTCCTCCTGTCAGAATGAAACTCTGGGGCCGGTATCCAGTAACCAAATACTGGAACCCGCCTCAATAAAAATAAAACGGCTGTTAGAGGGCAGCTCAGAACGAAACAGGAAGCTGACATCAAGCCATCATTACAAGGTCATTTTATATTACTTTATCCAGAGTCAAACGGGAGGAAATCCTTGATCTTGATTCAACATCCTCTTTGTGCATTCTAGTAATCATGCATGATGGACAAAGCAAAAAGATGCGTCAGCTTTAGAAGAAAGAAATTCACCTGTTCTTTATCACTCTGCTCTATGAGAGAAACTGCACTGACTTTTGCAAATTGCATCTATTATTGCACCAAGAAAGCTAAAAGGATGTTTTGATTTATCATGGAGCTCAGTTACATTAATCAGTTAGATTTGACAAGGCAGGCTGGCGAGTGTAATCAAACCTTTGCTGCTTCTTTAATGCAAAAAAAATATTGCAATTTAAATGTCCTCACATTTTTTTTGGTTGCTGCTTGCAAAAAAAAGAGCAACTTTTAGTATAGTTTTAGGCTAGTACCCTGTGAACATGTAACCTAAAATACCAAAAGTACATTGATTATTGCTAATAAATATTTTTTCTAAACAAAATTAATTGAAAACTGAATCAGGTGAACACGTGACAAAAAGAAACAGCTGCACTAAATCAAAACTATTTTCCGTGGGGGTTCAGTTAGAATGAAACTCGGGTGGGTACCCAGCTATCAGGTAATAAAATGTGAATCAACAAATGCAAACCTGAATGAGTCAAGAGGCATAATGAAACCGAAAGGTCTACACGTCTAAATATAAACGTTCTTTAAATGACCTAGATCCGGAGCCAAAGGAGACGTGTTGTACTGTCCGGTTTTAAGAATACCCACCCAGCGTCCTTGAGGAGATCCAGAAAGGCGTGGAACTTAGTGAAGGAGTTCTCAATGCTCTCGAGCACCGCCTCATCCTCAAGAGCAGTGAAGGCAGGTGGTGCTGATGCTGAACCAGTGGCCGCCAGCGCCTCCGACAGGGAGCGTTTGGCATCACGGAGTCGGGCATTCTCCAATTCATACTGAACAGAAATGAGAAAATGACAGAATAATGGAACAGATGAAAATAGTCTTTTGTTAGTTCATTTATAAAAAAAACATTAATTTGAACTTAATATACGTTTCGAATGCAATATCTGTCTTACTTAATAAAATTCAAACTGGTGGCAGCTGAATCACAAACCTGCAGTGGAAGAAAACACCCCAAAAAGTACGACAATCATATTTAGGTATTTTTGAGATCACAATTACCTCTATGAGCCTTGACTCAGCTTTCAGTCTGGCCCTGCGCTCTTCTGCCAGCCTCAGACGACACTCTTTTAGCTCCATCTACAGGACATGCATACAAAACACTGTGAAGTGCTTCTCAGCGTTTAGCTGTTTAGGTTCCAAAGTTTTGCATTTTGGGGCAACAAAGCTTTAAAGTTCCCCTGTAGTTTTTTTTAGTTCAGCTTAATGTGACTGACCTGCAAGCGTTCAAACTGCCGCCCTGTGATCCTGTCCTGAAGACTGAGAGAAGACGGCCTCTGCTCCACTTCTACCACCACTTCTTCCTCATCCTCATCCTCCTCCTCCTCCTCCTCCTCTGAATCAGACTCTATAGTAACCTTTACAGTAGCTGCACCCTAAGACAGATACACACATATATTCAACAAGAGATGCAGGTGAGAATACTGTTCCAGTTGATTCAACAAATTGCATTATAATTTGATGGTTTTTAATAGAGTTCTGAATCTTCTCTTTACCAACTGCTTGCTCAAAGGGAATCCAAACAACGCCTTTGATTTGTTGCGTTTCTCTGTAATACTTTCTAAGGTTTCCATCTTACTACGACAGATGTTATGGACTGAACTGAACTGAACTGAATTAAAAACACGAAACAAACTTACCTGAAAGCTTTGGTCTGTCGCAGTTACCCCGGGAGGCAAACCTCTGCAACAAAAGAATCCAACAAACATCAGTGCCTGCATCACTGTAATACCTTGTGAGGGCTTTTCTAAATGTAGAAAATGTAAATGTTTTACCCAACACTTAGAATACGTTCTATTCTGGTTGGTTGAGAAGACATTGTCCATAAATGTACCCAAAAATGAAGCACCAACTTTTTCATTCATGTTTAACCTATTCATTATCTATACACTACTTAATCCTCACTAGGGTCATGGGGGGCTGGAGTCTATCCCAGCTGACTCAGGGTGAAGGCAGGTTCACCTGGACAGGTAACCAGTCTATCACAGGGCTACACTTAGAGACAGACAACCAAGCACACTCACATTCACACCTACGGACAATTTAGAATCACCAATTAACCTCAACATGTTTTTGGACTGTGTGGGAGGAAGCCGGAGAACCCAGAGAGAACCCACGCTGCACGGGGAGAACATGGAGACTCCACACAGAAAGATCCCGAGTGTCCTCACTGGGACGCGAACCGGCAACAGTGCTAACCACCGAGCCATCTTGCAGCCCATGTTTAACCCAGACAAGAAAAAATACAATCTGAACAAGCTTTTGGATCTGAATCTTAATGGATCTGGATAAAAAATGACGTCTTGCACTGAGAACTGGAATACAGTTTCCTCTACTAGATGTAAACTAGTTCACCAACATCTCCTCACCTCTGGCGCCCAGCTCGTGCAGCAGCACGCCAAGGCACATAACAGGAGCGGGAATAGGCCTTCTGTGTCTGAGCGGCACCTGAACTCCGTCCTCCAGATGATGCTCCTTTATGAGTCCCTGCACCAGAGAGAGAGAGCCATGTAAAGAAGTGGAAACACAGAGAGCCACAGAGTTTTTTTTCTGGAGGCGCTCTGGCAACAAGGACACAGAGTCATGGATGCAAAGCCTTCAAGGTATTATTTGATGCATTTCATCAGATGGAGAGTGAATGACCCTGACTTTCAATGTAATGGTCACCAAGACAGAAGGCCATCCACTTGATTAAAGCATGAGTTGCTGGTTATAAGAGAGTGACATACTGTGTGGGTGCTTTGCATTTTGAAACCAGGATCTAAACATCACAGGCAAAGGATATGAAGACTGATAAAATTTAAGTTGCAAATGATTTGGTGTCAGGTGAGGATATTTGAGGAATGAGTAAATGCAAAGACATCTGATCCATATCAAACACTTAAACACAAAGTTCACATTTCTTTTTTTCTTCTTACTTGTCAGCAGGATTATTGAAATGAGTCCAGGATTACAAGTAATTCAGGTCTTACAATATCTCGAGATTACTTAAAAGGCAAAAGATGAGAAAGGATAAAGAAATAACATGACTATTAAATAAAAGATGCTATGTCAAACAGATTTAAAGAAATCCAACACCGAAAGCTGCCTTTGCGTTTGCACAGGCATTACTGAAGCCTTGCAGTGAATCTATATCTAAACTTAACACTTTGCCAGTATCGACCTCTAAATTGTTTGACGCTGGCAACATAGACAGTTTGGGCTAGTATGTGAAAATTAACCTTTTTAGCTATAAAATATAAGACACATATGTCAATTAATAAATTATTTGATATATTTTTCACAGGTTTATTGTGTTGGTAACTATTCTTAAGCAGCTGTCTATGTGTATGTGAGAAACAAGAAGCATATATGCATATACCTATCCTAAATGTAGCTTTTCCTCTTACTGTACTGGGCAGTGCTCTTCTCTTTGGACCAGATGTTCTCTGTGGCTCAGTGGTTGCAGGTTTGATCCAGCAGTACTACAGTACAGCATAAGAAAGACACAAAACGTGGGTACAGCTGTCAACAAGTGGAAAGCATGCATGCAAATAACACCATTTATTTACTTAAAACGTCCATCCATCCATCATCTATACACCTTAATCCTCACTAGGGTCATGGGGGGCTGGAGTCTATCCCAGCTGACTCAGGGTGAAGGCAGGTTCACCTGGACAGGTAACCAGTCTATCACAGGGCTACACTTAGAGACAGACAACCAAGCACACTCACATTCACACCTACGGACAATTTAGAATCACCAATTAACCTCAACATGTTTTTGGACTGTGTGGGAGGAAGCCGGGGAACCCAGAGAGAACCCACGCTGCACGGGGAGAACATGGAGTCTCCACGCAGAAAGATCCTGGGTGTCCTTACCAGGACGAGAACCGGCGACCTTCTAGCGGTGCTAACCATCGAGCCACCTTGCAGCCGACTTAAAACGTGAGTGACCTTTATAATTAATATTCCAGACACGTACCTCTGGTGATTGTCCATCAGCATTCATTAGCACTTTCTCTATTACAGTTTTAATGAGAACCTTGTCTGTGAAGAAAACAAAACCATCAGTGAAGACAAATGTACTTCTAGACTTTTAGGTTTCTTGTGTAGAAATTTTTATGAACAACTACATTATTATTGGTTTGGTTGGTTAGCTGCTTACCGACTAAGGGGTTGCTCCGGATATCCAGTACGCGCAGAGAAGAATTTGTTTTCAAGGCTTCCAGCAAACGACGGGCTCCTTCGTTGGACAGACCACACCTCTGTAGGTCCACAGCTGTTCAACAAATACAAAAAAAAATCCTATAATTTATTTTTCTCATTGTGTTATTCTCACATCTAGACATAGCGACAAACCTTTAACCCAGAGGTCCTCGGAAAGTTCCCGTGCGAGAGCAGCAGCACCCCGGTCCCCAATCAAAGTGTTATGGTTAAGGGTGACCCGCCGAAGACCTCCCATTCCCTCAAACTGTGGCTGTCGATACCTCAGAGACTCTGCCCACGCAGTGCCATGCCTCTGCATTCCCTGGTGCTGAGAGACAAAATGTGCATGCTTATACAAATACGTATTATCTTGAATACATGCATTTTACAATAAATAATCAGTCACATCCCATCACAGCAGATAAGAGTCAATGATACATGAATGCCATTAAACCAGGTGAAATCCTAAAAATGCGATATGACACCTTGATGATGTTGGCCATATGCTCCGCCCCTCTCCAGGTGAGACTGCAGCCCGTAAAATCTATCGTCCTGATGCTTGTGGAGTACTTAACACTTTGGCAAATGACTGAAATACATGGAAAGGGCAGTTACTACAAAGACAATGTGATCACACACACAGTACGATCTTGTGAAGTTTTTCTAACAGATAAAAACCTATTAATAATACAGTGAATATAAATACACACCCTCCAAGCCCTCGTCTGTTATCGGACAGTTGGCCAGAGACAGGTTTTCCAAGGAAGTGTTTTTGGACAAACCCTGAAATTAAGTACATATTTTTACTGATATGATTTTGTGTCAGTCCATCTATATAAGTAAAATAACAACAACAATGACATAGTGACAGCTTCACTGTTTAAACTGCAAAGCAAATCCTGTCACTTTTTTTCCTTTTACCTTTGTCAATATGATGAGGTCCCTCTCTCTCAGGGGAAGTCCATTAAGCTGCAGAGTCTTGAGGTTTGGAGAGACAATCAGACACTCTCTCAGGGCTTTGCACACCTTGAATGTCATGTCCTTTGAGCGAACGGCTGGGATCCTCCTCCTGAAGCTAGACTTAAAGTACCTTCTGTCTAAAATGGGTGGAAATATGATTCATGTTTATATGCATGGTCATTCACATTTTTTAAAACAGATCAATAAGACAGAATAAACTATTTTTCTTTCACTGTTGAATGATGTTGCCGCTTTAGTTTCCGACTTACCTGCATCTCCAGAACCAAGGTTAGCTTGGTATGTGCTACTTATTGCAATGTGGTGCAGGTGCTTGTTGATGGATATAGAACTGAGAATAGGCGGCCAGTCGGTTAGTTTGAGCCTGTCTCCATTAAAGTCCAGCATCCCTTTGTCAAGGTTCACCTTAACAACGGGGAGAGGGACCGATTCCTGCCTGGCACAGGCAAAGTCGTAGTACGCCATGAAGTCCAGGGCACCCTGCCGCCGAATCTGAGCACTGTCCTGAACCATCTTTGACCTAAGGAGAAAGATTTTTTTTTAAATAAGTCAATAACCAAGTTTTCAGTAGTTAAAATAACTCAAGATCAACATGGCACTGGGATCTTGTCTTTTATTCCGGTACTGATAGGAAAAACCAAAGAAGGATCGAATATCTCTCTTTGTTTATATCCAGGAATGTACAAGGTGTGTCAGAAAACTTTCAGGACTGGTGTCACAAAAGATATATTTCCAATCCAAACTACAAACTACACGTTTTCCCCTTCCCAGTAATCCCCCAGGAGTCTAACCCACTTCCCCAGCCTTCTCTGCCACACCGCCGGATGCACTCCTGGAAGGATTCTTCTTGGATCCTCCTCAGTTCCGTCGTCACAGCCATCTTGATGTCGTCCACGTCTTCTAAACGGGTCCCCTTGATGACCCCCTTGAGCTTGGGGAAGAGGAAACAATGCCATGGAGCCAGGTGGGGTGAGTAGGGAGGTTGCTCCAGCACAGAGATGTCCTTCTCAGCCAGGAACTGTCGGATGCTCAGGGCGTTGTGAGCAGGCGCGTTGTCATGGTGAAGCAGCCACGACTCGTCCTGCCACAACTCTCACCTCTTCTGAACAAAGCAAATGACGCAGGATCTCTTTGTAGACGTGCTGGTTGATCATCTGAAGGGGAAAACTCCTAGTTTGTAGTTTGGGTTTGAAATATATCTTTTGTGACGCCAGTCCTGGAACTTTTCTGCCACACCTCGTATAACACCTTCCTCAATTCAAGTCCTAATTTTTACAACGTTAAACATATATGTGTGTATATCATAACTGTAGATAATCTAAAGGTCCCACAAACCATTGCACACGTCTACAATGTTTTACTCAGTTCTGAGAATGATTAAATGAGAAACACTGTGAAGCACCTTGAGTACTGCCAAGGTAGGAAAGTGTTTTTTAAGCACAGATCATTTATCATCAGAAGTGATCTTCAATATGCAGGGTTTTGGGTCTATTATACAGTCATCTAACACTGATTTCAAAGACATATATGGCCCTTGGTCACAAAACATTTCATGCAACTTTCAGCAATTTGTAAACAGTTAGATTCTGTCTCTTCAGCATACGGCCGCTCCAAATAGTTTTGCTGATATTTGTTAGCACAAAGGTGACCCCAGCCTTTTTAATCTGGCTCACACAATCAAACCAGTGTCTTCTAACAAAACTGACTCTGTACAATGAGCAACATATGGGTTGGAATAGATCTCATATTAAAAACTGGTGGTCAGAAGTGAGCAGTTCTGTCTGTGAACATTTAAGCTGTCAGTATGGGCCAAACCTTAAACTGCATTTCTGCTTCGGACAACCCAAAACTAATAAGCTAGTTGACGGCTCATAGATTTCAGCGTAAGTTAACTCTGAAAGTCACACAGCCTGTTTCATGCCTAGCTAAACAGGTTGACAGTTTGACTGACTGGCAGTGATTAGAAACAAAAGTTCAGACTGAAGCTGCACTTCTCTGGATAGTTAAACTACTTTTGTTCCTTTGGAGGCGTGTTTTCAACGACCAGCGACTTGGTTTTGTTGCACTTTAGCACTTGCTAGCCGCAGCAGAGCCGCTGTTAGCAGCAGGCTAGGCTCAGCTCCTAGCAACCGACCGTTACGGAGGAGAGCTCCGGTGCTAACAACGCTCACTGCTAGTCGCACTTCCACGCGTTGTTAAATCACATTTATTAAAAAACTAAAACAACACAGCGTACCTTTCACATATGCCCGGTCGTCGAGGCACTGTTTTGTGGAGCTTGACCGCTTTCTGACAACTTGTGCTACAGTAGTCTGTTGACAATGTAAACTAGCGCTCAAAAGTGGCGCTGTTGTGCCAGCGAAGCCCCGCCCAGCCCATCGCTCTTCCTCACCGGCTCACCTGCTGCGGCTGCATCCGGGCGGCTGCTGCCTCCTGCCGACACGGGGAGACATTCATGCGTTTCCGTAGACGGGACGGTCGGTGCCTACGATGTGCCCAATAGGGGCCGCACTTCCAGGACCCGTGTCTGCGCCACTACCGCTTTAAGGAGCTGGATGAAGTCAAAGAACTGCTCCACCCAAAACACTACAGAGAGATCCAATAGTTGGAAGTATTTATAGTTTTTACAGAGTTTAAATGCATTATTCCACCCAAAATAAAACTTGCAGTTTCAATGGTTTATTCCACATATAATATAGCTTCTAGATTGAATGGTTTATTCCACATAAAATATAGCTTCTAGTTTTGATGCTTTATTCCACATAAATTGAATTTCCCTTCTGGGATAAATAAAGTATTTTTCATTTCTTTGTTGTTCTTAAAAAATAAAATAAAATATAGCTTCTAGATTTAATGGTTTATTATATATAAAACATAGTTTATAGTTTCAATGGTTTGTTCCACATAAAATATAACTTATAGTTTTAATGTTTTATTCCATCCAAAACATAGCTTATAATTTTAATGTTTTATTCCACATAAAATATAGCTTGTAGTTTTAATGGTTTATTCCAGTAAATGCATTTCTTTCTATTCAAGTATCTGTACTTTTCAGAAAGTTTAGATTTTTTTTTTATTCCACCCAAAATAAAGCCTATGTTTTAAATGGTTTATTCCACATAAGACACAGTTTATAGTTTTAATGTTTTATTCCACATAAATTCCACCTTCTAGTTTTAATAGTTTATTCTACTCAAAATATAGCTTGTTGTTTTAATGGTTTATTCCATTCAAAGCATTTCTTTCTATTCAAGTATCTATACTTTTCAGAAAGTTTAGATTTTTTTTTTTATTCCATGCAAGATATAGTTTATAGTTTTAATGGTTTGTTCCACCAAAAACATTACTTTCTATCCAAGTATTTATAGTTTTTAGAGAGTTTTGATGTTTTATTCCACCCAAACGCGGTTTATAGTTTTAATGGTTTGTTCCACTCAAAATATTTCATTCTATTAATGTATTTATACAGAGAGTTTTGATGTTTTGTTTCATCCAAAAAACAACTTCTGATTTTAATGGTTTATTCCACCGGAGATATAGCTTATAGCTTTAATGGTTTGTTCCACCAAAAACATCATTTTCTATCCAAGTATTTATAGTTTTTAGAGAGTTTGAATGTTTTATTCCACCCAAAATACATTTTATAGTTTTAATGGTTGGAGCCACCCAAAACACTGCTTTCTATTCAAGTATTTATAGTTTTAAAGATTTACTCCACCCAAATAGTACTTTCTAACTAATGAGTAAAGGTTTTATAGTGTGTCTCATCCAAAACACAACTTACAGTCATAAAGGTTTGTTCCAGACAAAATCTTAATTGTACTAATTGCCATTTTAATTGTTTGTTCCAATGAAAATATTGTTTATCCTTCCAAAGATTTGTTTCATCCAAATAGTACTTTCTAACTAATGAGTTATGGCTTAAAGGTAACTTCCAGCCAGAAATATAACTTACAGTTCTGGTTTATTCCACCCATATAGCACTTTCTAACCAACATTTTTTGGGTTTAAAGATTTATTTCATGCAGAATTGTAAATAGTTCACTGTGTTGCCTGGGTTTGTGGACCAAAAAAGGAAAATGTAATTCTTAATTGGATGATGGGACTGATCAAAGTAAGTGACATAGTTTGATGGTTTGTTCCACCCAAAACATTACTTTCTGTCCCAAATATTTATAGTTTTGAAGGTTTACTCCACCCAAACGGTACTTCCTAGCTAAAAAGTTATGGTTTTAATAGTTTATTCTAGCCACAACACAACTGAGAGTTTTAAAAGTCTGTTCCACTCAAAATACTAATTGTCCTTTTAATTCGTTTGTTCCATTCAACATAATATTTATAATTTTAAAGGATGTGGTTACGACCTATAGTTTAAAGGTTTATTACACCCACATTGTATTTTCTAGCTGTTCTGCTCAAAACTGTACATAGCTCATTTTGTTTCCAGTGTTTGTGGACTAAAAAAGGAAAAAACATTATTCTGAGACTTTCAATTCTGTCCCTTTGACAGCAGTAACAGCTAAATGCAAATGTTTTGTGTGTCTGGTTTGGGCAGTTTATCTCATTCTTCTCAGCAGATATTTCCTGTAAAATTGCATACGAAGTATCTATGAGCTGCCGTCCTCGGGTCTATCCAGACTCTATGTTTTGATGATTTTGTAGGGTCTGAGCTGAAAACTTGTCCCTTCGCCACCATATAGCTCACTGTATGCTGTGGGCAGTAGGTGATTTGAGAATTCAAATCAGAGGGAAAGCCATCCCTCTGCTTGGAAAATGACACAATTAATAACCTGTCATCCCCCTTTTACGTGTGGCTTGGTGGTGTTGGAGCAGGCCGCATGCATAAGCCAACTAATTGCCAGCTAAGTGCCCCAATTGCCACCAGAGGGACCCCAAGAGCTCTTTAAATCATTGGACATAAGAGCGCTTAAATTTAGCTCTAAAATGCAACTTGGCTCAACGGCACCCCGTACAATATTTCAAGAGTCCCATCGGGGCTACGTTTCACTTTGAGCTATGAAATTCAGCACACATATGTACCAACTCGTGATGCACAAAAAAGTCCATCAGCACGTTTCTGTAAACACGACAGGAAATCCACTATCTTGGAAAAATGGCAAGCATGCCGGGCGATTTTTGCTCATTTTTGGCCATTTTCAAAATCTATCTCCTCCTAGGGATTATGTTGTACACACCTGAAATTTGGCCAACACCAACTATAGGACGTGGTGATTAAAAAGTATTAAAATCTTCTGCAGAAGTCTGATGGTGTGGAAATGGCGGCCCGAGCAATTTTTATTAAAGGCCATTTTGTACATTTTCACCATGTTTCCGCCATCTAACGGAGTCCTGTCGGCAGGCCGTTTCACCTACACCTACACAATTTGGTTGCCATGTGTAGCAGGTCAGGACGCACAAAAAAGTCAGTTACCGCCAAGCACTAAACCCAACAAGAAGTCCGCCATTTTGAAAAAAGACGGCGCCATAAAATGTCATAAAACAGGACGTACTGTGTAACTGAGCTGTAGGTGCTCCGATCTGCCTGAAACTTTACACACATGCTCTGAGTTCCCACCAGAGCGCATTGCCAGCACGCCACGCACACATGCTGCCTCAGGTCGCCATTAAACAGGAAGTGATGTCTAACTCGGCCAGAGGTGCTCCGATCTGGTCGAAACTCGAGCACGTTTGCGGCACACCTGGACATGCGCGAAGGTCGACAATCGTATGGCAAGGACCCGTCCACCGCCACTTGCGGCTTTAATTATTTTATTTTTTTTATTGACACACACCCTTCAGTCAACCTCCAACCAGTCTCCTTGACCCTGCCTTTGAGAAGCCCATGCTTCATTGTAGGGACACTGTTAACCAGTTGATGAGCAGTGCTTCATGTTTGCCAAAAGCAGTGTTTGGAATTGTGGGCAAAGAGTTCAATTTTTGACTCATCTGACCAGATAGTCTTTTCCCTTATGCTGTGAGAATCCTTAAAAAGCTGCAAACTTTAACCTTGGGCTGTGATATACCTTTAACTCAAGAGTGACTTCTGCTGTAAATTTATGATGGTCACTCAGGTTCTTGCATCTCTGCAGAAGACTTCTGAAGTTCTGGTGCGCTAACTTTTTTGGGCTTGGTCATTTCCCTGACCAAGGCCCTCCTTTCTCAGTCCAAACCTCTTCCAGTTTACAATTTTTTAGTTCACTGTGCTCCTGTGTACACTCAAAGCTTTAGATGTGGTGTCATACCTTTGCCCAGATGTACACCTTGACACAGTTTGATTGTTGAGTTCCACAGAGAACTCATTGGACTTCATGGCTTGCTTTTTGTCCTTTTGACCTTATGTACACTCGCAGGTGTGTGCCGTTCTAAACTATGTCAAATCAACCACTTTGCCACAAGTGGACTCCCATCAACTACTTGACTGTTTTCATGTATAATTAAAGCTATGAGGATGCATTTCACCAACAACTGGCTCATTTAAAATGCTGCTTCTAGAACACTGACCAACACCGAGAAGAATTCATAGAGCCCTGCACTGGCTTCCTGTTAAACATAGAATTAAATTTTAGACTCCACTTATTGTGTATAAGTCTCTGAATGGTCTGGGACCAAAATATATTGGACATGTGTTCGCTGAGCACAAGCCTGGAAGGTCTCTAAGATTTGCAGGGACTGGTCAGCAAGTGGTGCCCAGAGTTCAGACCAGACACAGTGAAATGTTGTTTAGCCATTATGCTGACCACTGCTGGAACCAGCTCATCTTTGACCTTAGATTTGCCCAAAGAAGTAGCCATTTGTAAGAGTAATAAAGACTTTTTTTTTTCTCCACTGCTTGTAATCAGTGTTATGATAAAGTCTGGTATAAACGGTCTTCATTTTATTTATTTGTTTTTACTTTTAATCAGTTAATTTTATTCACTTGTTTTCTATTTTGTTGGACACTTATCTCTTACCTGGTATTATTTTTCTCATCTGTTGTAATTTTTTGCTGCTTTTGTCTGTCAGTTATGATGATCTATATCTCATTTTCATATGCAAAATGCACCATGCCATCTCTGTAGATGTGACAGGTATTTCAAGTCTGTTCTAGATCTTTATTTTTAGCTTCTCCTTTTTTTTTTTTTTATTTGTTTTGCTTTTCCCGTACCTCATTTGTTTGTAGCTGTTGCACCATGTAAATTTACCCAGTGAGGGATCAATAATGTTCTATCTTATCCTATCTTGTTCTCAAAATCAGTGTGCACTTTATTCAACTTGCCTGTACTGTTTCTGGTTAATCGATTGTAATGGTTAAATTTTATATATTTTTTGCACTTGCCCATTAAACCGTTTTAGTAAGTTTTTGTGTTTGATAAGGTGCCATAAAAGTGAATTTTTTTTTTTTTTTGCGGTCGCTTCCGGAGTTGCATTTGGGTTCCACAGAACACTCTTCCAAATTGTGGGTGTGTATATTGCATAGGGAGAAAGCACAGCAATGTTTAATTCTGTATTAAATGAACAAAAGTCAATTAAAGTTCCCGTATACAGTCTATACTGTGTAACTGGACCAGCACTGGGGTCGTGACTGCGCTCGTCTTCCTTATATGGAGTTATTTCCTGCGTAGCCAGAACGCAGCACGACAACGCCCGCCCCCTGAGCAAACTCGAAGCCTATTGGTCGGCGCGCACGTCAATCAAATCCTGGTACGCCGTATTCCAGTAATCCCATCCTACCCTGGAGTCGTTGGGAATGGTCAAACTAAACAGCACGGGGGCAGGATCGGGACGATACGAGCTGTATAAAAACACAATAACAAAGCTGGATTTACTGGATACATAGCCCAAAGAGCACCGAAGAAGACTTACCGCTACACCAGAGGTATTTTTTGTATTATTTGTTAACTTATAATGACCGTTTAGCTAACGACACCGCGGCTACTCGAGCTAGCAGCGTTTTTTCCAAACATCAGTGGCCTGTCTGCGTGAATGTGGCGGGGGTGCTGCCTCCCAAGTCAACTTAAAATGACCGTCACCTCGTGTTATTCCCATTATCTACACGGTCTCCCTTAATTAAATGCCGTTCAAATGACAGCTACTCTACATTTCGTCCCGTATCTTCATTGTTTGTTGTTGAAGATGCGACTTGTTGTGACGGTGTCTATCACGCTGCTAATGCTAATTGATGCAAACCGTCCCGTGATGGTGCAGTCAGGGATGTGTGCCGTTTTAACCTCTTCTTACTGGCGGAGCACAATCAGAATAACAAAAATAGCATATTACGCATGAATATGTGCACCACACGTTCACAACACCTCGTGACTTTTCATTAATTGGGACCCCAGGGTGGGATGTGTACTATGATGGTGTGTATGCAGTCACTGTGGTTGTTTGGATGGAGCTCAGATCAGCCTTTTAGTTTATTTCATTTATATTTTGTGCTTTGTGCAGCACCTTTTTCACAAGTGCTATACACACACACACACACACACACACACACACACAGTGCTTTTTAATTTATGAGACCACCACCCAGTATAAGGTTTATGCCACAGCTTCCCTAAATTAACAGCATTGGTAATTAACAAAATCATTTTTTAATGTTTCTGTAGCAGTAAATACACCAGTATGTAGAAACCCTTTAACTGAAATAATATTTTTAATGCTAAAATTTAATTATTGTTGTTGTCCATGAGTTTTTAAATGTACTGTTTTGCACAGAACTGAAAAAAATAGTAAAGCACATGATTATTTCTTATTTTCTTGCATTCCTGCACAGAAAAATTGTTTTAGCAGTTGAATATTACGCTTGATTCATTTCTGACTTCTCAGGGTGCCGGCTCAAATTTGGGTATAAGAAGGTGAATTCAGTTTCTCATTCCTGTTCAAAATGGTAAAACGCTGAGAGCTGAGGGCACATTAAAGCACTGTATTTATATTCTAATTATTGTTTTTGGCTGGCCACCTCATTTCTCATCTGATGGATCTGATTATTTGTTTTCCCTCTTAGTCTTAACATGACAGGATAGTTTTTACACTCTGCTGTGAGCAAATATAATGTTTAGCCAAGTATGTCCAGCATGCTGTGGAGAATTTTTTTTTTTTACAGCATGGTCTGACAGAAAACTGCATTTTTTGTACTAATGGTGTCATAATATACCCTATCAAGTAGGTGCTTGCTGTTAGTTACTGTTACAGGTAACAATGCATACGACAAGACTGTTTTATAGTGGTCATTTAAACAAACGTAATACAGAAATTGCGAGACAGTTAGGGTGGATTAGCAATTATTTCTTCAGCATTTCTTCTGTCTGCACCTGCACAGGGGGATCTGTTATGCTTTTCTTTAACTTCAGTTAAAAGCAGCAGGATCGGGTTCTTGAAGATGTTTCACCTCACATCCCAGCGGTTCCTTCAGTTCAGCCTCATAGATGACAGGTGAAACGTCTCTGTTGCTTTTCACTGAAGCTACTAGGATTACCATGACCTGGATGACTGACAGTCTACACAGACAGTGTTGGACATTCATATTAAACATGGACAAAGTTTCAAATAATAACGTGTTAAAGCTCAGGCTTCAGTCTGCTCTGAATTCCTAGATATCCATTATTTTTTTTGTACTTGCACAATGCGTCTGCTCGCCCCAGACTTCTTTATATAGTCATCTGTTCCAGGTACAGCACGCCCACGAAGCCAAACTGCAGTCTTCATCCGTCTGCTTGACTAGTATTATAGGCTTCGGCTTCGGGCTGAAACATGTACATCTGAGAAGTTGCTATTTCCAATCTAGAATGAGAAACTGTATTTGGATTACAGTTGGCTTTGGGAACTGGTGGTGATCACAGGCAACAGCTTTCCTGAAAGAGCCCAGAGCTAAAATAAGGAGGAGGGACTGAGTGGATGGACATAAAATGCCAACATAAGATAAATAAGTAATGTTTAAAACTGTGTCTCATTTAAAGCTGCTCCTAGAAAACAAAATATAGAGCTGGAAATTAGCATATTAGGTTGTTTTACAGTAAACTATTAGACACTGCTCTGTCCTTTGGTACAGTCATTATTTTTCCCGCAATAAGGAGTTATTTGTGCTGTATCCTGTACAAAATGTTCACGTGGAATCCATCTGCTGTAGTCCTATATAAGAGCAGATTGTAAAAACAGATTTCATCCTACATACTATCATTCTAGTATGACGCAATACAAAAAAAACACTGAGCATTAGTCACCATAACAATCTGGCTAAATAGAGGAATCTCCTTGTACCTGGCAGGACAAACGCCGCCCTGTTGGTGTGTTTTCTTTGTAACCACTCACTCGGCTGTGTTTGTGCCAAAAGAATAATAAAAAAATCCCGACTAGTCTGTATATTTCTCTTGAGGCTGGTGTTGACACTTTGACTCTCGCTGTGTGATTGTCTGTGTGATGCAGACACATCTAAAAGCAAACAGCGTGTTTTTAAAGTGTGCTTTCATTCACTTCCCGCTGCCTCCAAGATTTTCATTTGCATTCATAAAGCAATACGAGGGAAAAGGAAGGAAGGAAATGCTGCTTGGTTCCAGTCCAAACGCTACACACACAGGACTGAATGTCCCCTTTTCCACTGAGGTCAAAGCGCCGACATTTCGCAAGCACACACACACACACACATTCATTTGTTATCGCCCCCTGTTTTTCACTTATTCTCTCACAAGCATCCGGTCTTCCTCTCATCACATTCAGACGTCGGACATAATTAGCTGCAACTTTAGCTCGTGTTTCAAAATGTCCCCACACTTGTGTAGGACACTAGAGCCACTGTGTGCTTATGTCTTTGGTCCTAGCGGTCGTCGTATGACAGCGTAATGACAACGTTGCTTAGCGTAGGCTGAGATCAGACACGCACACACAGACACAGGGAGGGTTGACTAAAGGAAATGCTATCAGAGGTTTTGATTGTTTTAAAATGTGGCTGTAACAGTAAGGTGCTTTTCAGGTTGGAGGCTATGTGTACAGATGGACTTCTGACTGGGGATAAATACATCCAGAGCGCTACAGCATATGAAAGCTTCATCACAATCATATAACTATGGAACTTTTCTAAGCTCATTGTTGTGTTTTTACCAACTTATTTTTTTTCCTCTCTCTCCCAGCAGTGGTAGTTTTGAGTGAGTAATTTTGGCTTTGGCTTCAATTCATTTTTTATTTTTGTCCTGGTTTTGGTTCAAGCGGGGATAGCATTCACTTTATCCTTATCCTATATATAGGATTTCTTTTAGACTGAAACTAGAGGGGAAACTGATCAGTAAGGAGACTAAATGTTAATCAATGACCCTATTGACGGATCATTTATCTTTAAATACAAATATAAAACATTTGCTCACTGCAGCTTGTCAGGCAGATGAAAAATACCATTGGCTTTTGGAAACTTGTGGGAGCAACTTGTTATCTGAAATAATTTTAAAAAAAATCTAAAGCTTCATTGATAACTTAGCATTGATTCAAGAGCAAAAAGTGAAGCCAGGTAGCAAACACACACACTCAAAGCAAACACACCTACTTTTGCATTTGCCAGTAATTGTTTGCGTTCTCTTGACTTGTGCAATCTCTACAGATGTGCAAACTGGGTAGGAGTGTTATTACATATTGACTGACATTGATCCAGTATTTTAATGCCGACTAATGTTTTGACTATTAGAAGTAGAAAACGATTAGACGGGACAGCATGTTGAATAAGTTCTGAGAAGTGGTTGCATCACATGACGGCAAGTCCTGTGCAGTCAGTGTATTTGATTTGGGAGTATACCTGGACAGTTTTCCAGAAGCTTGCTTTATAAAGCTGCACAGTCAAACAGAACGGTGGCAAAGTTTGGTTTGGAAAGAGGCAGAAAACTCCCAAGTCATGGTGTTGGGTTTTTTTTTTTTTTGTAGGCGAATCTACTCTTTCCTAAAATTGGACTTGTGCAGACATAGAGATGAGCTGTAGGCTCGGTTTTTAAGTAACAACAATATCTTTGTGGTTTTTGTAGTTTGCGGTCGCATTTATTACTGCTGCAAGGACAAAGACCAGAAGCCCAGCAGAGAGGTATTGATTTGTGTGTTGGTGTACATTTGTAGCTATCAGTTTCTTGATGAGATTTCCCAGAATCTACAGCTTTTTTCCCCCCGCTTCCCATCAGTGTTGTTTTTTCCAAGGCTCACAAGGTCACGGAATATATTGGAGGTTGTAAAACATTTCAGCCTGGTGGTAAAGTCTGAAAAATAATCTTTAGGAACCAGGACCACTAAAACATATAAATGCTCTTTTCATGTGGGGACCCAGAAGGCTCAGGAACCAATTTGGTGCAGGCGCATAAGTGTGTGAAACACTGCCTCCACGCAGCTGTATTTATGTTGAGCCAGGCCTCTGAATTTCACTTGAAGGTGATGGTTTTTAAAGCAGGGACAAGAATTTTAAAATCCGAGCCAACCTGTGGAAAGTCTGAGCAGCTCACGCTTGGATTAACAAAAGCACCAAGTGTTCAGATTTTCTTGTTAACAGTCTGTAACGAATAAAAGTTCACGATAAGACTTGTTGGGTTTTTAGCTGATTAGGGACGCTGCAGTATTTACACTGTATTAGTGTTTTTGCACAGAAAAAAACGATTACCGTGCATGTGAAGCAAAACTGAAAGCTCATCCATGTTGTGTCTAAATAGCAAATCTTTTGAAAAACTTACATGAAACCGCTTCAGGAACCAGAAGTAAAAGCACGTCTGAGATTTGAAATCCCTCCTGCTGCTGAGAAATCAGCGAGAAGAAGAAAAAAAATACCTGAGAAACTATTTCTAAGTGTTTGTGTGTAGATTCTTCTTCATTCAGTGGCGATAAAGAAGCTGTTTTACTGGTGTTGTGCATTTTCACCATCAGACTTTGCATAGAAATTAAACTACATTTAAATGGTTTCCAAATAAGAACCGAGATAAGTGTTTTTAGAGAAGTGCCCTCTTCTTCCTGTCCCGTAAACCAGGCGTGCTGTTCTCTGGAATCTGTGTGGATTTGTTTGTGTAGCCTCGAGTTCAGTGTCGTTACGGGCTGCAAAGCTGGCGCCTTCAGCAACTTGTTTTTCTCACTCCGTTGGGATTTGTTGCCACATTTCACATGAATTCACAGCTGTCAATAAGGAATGTTTGTTTAGTCTTTTGAGTCTAACTTTGATCTCGGTTTGGAGTTTAGTCTGGTAGCACAACCAGAAAAGGAAGGAGAGTGCGCTGCATCCGGGCAAAAACATCCAGACTGAGGCCTTGTCCACACGTAGCAGGATTTTTGTAAAACTGAATATCCTCCCCCTCCGTCTAGAAAGAAACTAACGTTCACACCACCTCGTTTTTAGAAAAGAATTCATCCACATCTAACCGCACTAGTGCGTTGTGAAGCACATTCATCTTCTACGTGAGGATGTAATAACTCCGACCACAGGAGCGACAACCGGGAAATTGTCACGCCATTCCTCCGGGAGCACGACTTCCGTCTCAAAGTTCTCCCACCAGCTGGCAGTGCATCCCGGTCTGCCCCAAAACCGGCATCGGTGACTCTGACGGAGAACATGCCTCGGAGGTGGAATGGCAAGGTGGCAGAAAATAACCGTCCTGAACGCCGTTCTTCGCCTGTGTTCTTGTACGTAAAGCGGTATCTGGGCCTGGACCAGAGACAACACAGTTCTGAGGGCGTCCACACTGTTTCCAAATGTAAACACAGGTCACGTATGTGATGTAAAGAACATATTTTATCACAGGCAGTGACGTTTTGGAACCTAAAACCCGGTTATTGACGTCCACATGCAAACGCATTAACAGAGGATTCACAGATCTTCACTTTGGTCGGAGGTGTTTGAAAGACTCGTTTTTAATGCCGTAAATCTGTGTTTTCATGTGGATGACAGAAGAAATCGTAGAACAATATCTTAGTTTTGTGAGATACCTGCTACGTGTGGACGAGGCCTGAGAAACGGATTGAACGGCTGAACTGCTCCCCCAACACTAAACGTTTCATTGCACATACACTTCATCAACTTCATACGTCTTCATCATTGCTGCACTGACCACCTTAAAGCCGTCGCTGCTATTGTACAGCGTGCAATATTGTACATAGATTTTATTTTATTACCTTTATTTTATTTCTCTTTACTTATCTTATTCAACAATCCGAGACGAGACAAATACAGAAAAAATGTTGTTTGAGTCTTAAAGTTTGTAGTAATGACATCATGGATGAAATTATCTCATTATATCAGCATCTCACTGTGCCGTCACGCTGTTTGCACTGCAGACCGTATTACTAGTTTCACAATGATTCTCCAGCTCAGAGTGGGACTCGCCTCTTCAGTTATCCAAAACAGGCTCTCCTGGTGTGTTTCTGCGTGTTGCGTTCTAGTCGTGTTGTTGCATTAATGGGCTTGGTAGTCCTTGAGAGCATTGTTTTATCAAGCGACCGAGTTCTTTGGGGCCTGCCCCGGCTTGTCTCGAGGGAAACCAGATCGACTCTGCTGCAGCGTCTTGGCGACAGTTACGGAAACAAAAATCGGGAATTAGAGTCACAGACATGCACATGCAGGCACATCGATGCCGAGGCTCACAACTGGGTAGCAAGCGTCTGGTTTTTGTGCATCGGTGCATGTTAATTTTACTTTCTGTTTTGCAGAGAATAGCAGTCAGATACTGTACATGCTTCATCATGATCTCGCACTCTCTGACTAGATGTTTTGGCAGTTAAGCAAATTTTGTTTTCAGTATGCCAGCAGCGTGAAGCACTTTGCATCTTGTTCTCGGCCGTTATCGTGTAACCGTTGAAGTATGAATGTGGTTCAGTTAAGTCCATTTGTATGTATTTGATTCTTTTTGTCCATAAATGTCATGACGTCCTAGGAGCTTCAGTAAAAAGCAGCTGGACTTCACAGATGTTTCACCTATCATCTATGAGGCTGAACTGAAGGAACCGCTGGGATGTGAGGTGAAACATCTTCAGGAACCTGATCCTGCTGCTTTTATCTGAAGTTAAAGAAAAGAAAAGCATAACAGATCCTTCTATGCAGGTGCGGACAGAAGAAATGATGAAGAAATAATTGCTGATGCACCCTAACTGTCCTGCAATTTGTGTATTTCTTTTGTTTAAATGACCACTATAAAATAGTCTTGTAGTATGCATTGCTACCTGTAACAGTAACTAATAGCAACCACCTATTTGATAGGGTACATTATGACACCATTAATACAGTTTTCTGTGAGACCATGCTGTAAAACAAACTATTCTCCAGAGCATGCAGGTCCCACTTGGCTCAACATATTTGTTCACAGCAGAGTCTAAAAACGGTCGTGTCATGTTAAGACTAGGAGGGAGATAAATGCCAATTTATCTTAACCCCAATCAGTAAATTGCCTGTTTTTTCCAGACCAACCAGCATTCATACTGCATATATTTACCCTGTTTGCTGTCGCTGCTGAATGCTGCATGTGGTTCTTGTGGACGCGCCGCCTCAGCCAGCGAGCAGGTTGAGGCAGCACGGCTTTCTGGCCAGAGGTGCTTGTGGGAACAAGTGTGTTGACGGTAAAATTTAACACACCGTGACCTTCCATTCAGTGTATACCAGGTTATGCTGGTGGTTGAATATTTTTCCTGGAAGGCGCATAGCGGTGCATGTACCTTCAGCTGTACCGTCATTCCTCCCAGCCGCCTCTGAACAGGCGGGTTTGTGTTTGAGGATCAGGTGAACTGCCAAGTGGCTTTTCTCTGGTTCTGAGGTTTTCCAGCACTTTTTCTGACACACGTATTTGACTGCATAAATCTCAATACTGAAATGCTACTGAGGGGAGTAGGTGTATGTGCTGGAATGCGTAAGGCGGGATTATTTGTATAGCTCATAATAAACACAGAGGCTGTTTCAGCTGCTGCGCAGAAGGCAGCGTGTATTAGCTCATCATGCTGGTCCTGCAGCTGTTAGCATCCAGCTTTATTGTGTCTGTCTGCGGGATCTCAAGCTGCCCGTTCACGATACCAGCAGATAGAAGCAATGCTAACGGATAAGCGGCAAAAACAATCCTTCAACTGTGAGAAACTGCACCGGTGCAAAAGAGCACAGGGCAACTGGAATAGCAGCAACAGCCAGCTCTATGTAAACAGCGTTCTCCAGCTTGTGGGTTTCGACATCTAGCCCTGAAAGCAGCTGTCAGAAAGATGTGTTTTCTTGCGTTGATGTAGAATTTAGCTTTTCCTGGCAGTGGTACTTCTGGTTTTGGCATGCGCTTGTGAGGGAATCATTGTGCAAAACCCAGAGCGGTTCAGCAGATAGCAGCTCCTCCCCTGAGCCTGGCAGCGGCAGGAGCAAACCAAGCAAATCTCATCTTACGAGACATTTTATGAACACCGTGCATGCCAGAGGAGTTAATAACATGAATAACAGTATCGCTTGACTCCAAGGACAACTCCTCAGTCCTGCACCGTGAGAGTTGAGGAATTTTATTAGACCAGAATAAGTTTAGATGACAGACATGAAGGAACACATTGCTGACATTTTAAAGGCCCTCCACTCATAGAAAACGCTGCCCATAGAAAACTGTGCAAATAGGAAACAGCCCTTGTAGATAAAATCACTTGGTTTCAACTTTGATAAATTGAAAATGGAGAAACTGGAGGCTTCTCTGTGCACAGCTGCCCAGCTAGCTTCTACTATAACCTACCACTGAAAGCTTCTATCCATGAGCAGATCTTCAGGAAGTAAGGCATTGTGGGTAGTTCTATTTTTCCTTGTCTTATTTTAAGTCTTATTTTGATGCAAAGATTTATACATTAGCCTCAATGTAGCCCAAATGAAAATGAATGGAGTTTGTTCAAATATAAAAGTGTGATTAAAAAAAATATTTTGTCCCTGAAATCAACAAGTAATCATGATAAACAATCCAGATTTCATTGTTTTTCAATATAGTTGTGATCCTCGTTTCCTCCATTATCGCGCAGCACTGCTGTTATTTTCATTCCTATGTGTTCTGCGTCAACAGATCTCTGTTGTGTCGGTCAGATATTTATCGTTGTTTTTTTCCCCTCTTGTTTTCCACAGGCCTCCCTCTGCCTGCCTCTCAGGATGTCCAGCGCGGCGTCGCTGTAGTGGAGAAGATCGTCACTTTATTCAGATCTGGAGACAGTTTCTCGGCCAGTTGATAATCATGCCTCGCTTAAGTGTCAGTCCAAGTTCAGAGCCTCGCTGTGGCCTGGTCTGGCTCATCTGTGTCCTCTTAAGCCTCTCAGCGACACACACTCATGCCAGAATGGGTAAGAATCAGTCAGTCTGACATGCTGAATGTATTTAATACTGATATAGTGTGTCCACGTGGAAAGGTTTGATTCTGATTCTGTGGGCTGATGCATTTGATTTCTATGTGTACTGTAATCGCTAATTCCTAACCTGATTTTCTTTTCTTTCTTTTTTTTACAGCCGTTACTGTACCTGAGAAGGTTAGCCTGTCAGCAAACATGAACACACAGCAGCTATCTGTATCCTGGTTGGGAGGAGCAGCCACGACCTTTGACCTCATCATTCTAAGGACTGAATTCAATGAAACTGTCTTCTATGTAAGAACATTTCTGTTTTAGTCCGTTTGATTTTAGGCTTTTCCTAAAGCACAGTTATGCAGGAAGTGTGTTACATTCTCATGTGACGGATCCCAGTGTGACACTTGAGGCAGATATGACACTAATATTTAACAGTCTCATAATAATATCATCGACATTCGATAAATATAATAACACATGTTCATTTTCTTATCCCGTAACATAAAGACATATTTTTGATATTGCTCACATGAATAAATGAATAAATAAATCAATAAAGGTCCTAAAAAATGCCGTTTTACTGTTTAAAACTGAACTTCTTTCTGGTGGAAAAGCTATAAAAGGACGACATTGTTCAAAAAATACAGTTTCTTTGGCATTTATGTTTTAGTTTCTTATCATTTATTGCCTGACGTAGGCAGTGTTACTAATTTATCTGCAAGTGCTGGCAATATATCAGCCCGGAGCAATATTAAAGTAGATTCTAAAGGATGCTTTTAAAGCTGCATATAATGTATTTGCCTTTTTTTTTAGCACATTTTGCTGTAATACTTAGATTTCTAGTTAGTTCGATTCTTCCGTTGTGTTATAGGTTATTCATGCAACCATTAAGAAGACTTTGTTTCTTTTCCTGCTTTGAGATTCGTCTCCAGCGATTATCTACCAGCTCTGTGTTGCTCTGGTTCATTCTCTCTCTGTGTTTTCTGTGTGTTTTCCACAGGAGACGGTGTCAGCGACCGTGAGTCAGGAGAGCGGTCGCCACGAATGGAACTGGACCTCAGTCGAACCTCTGGAGTGTACGTCGCTGTCAGTCAGAATCCGCTCAAGAGACGGACAGTTGACGAGTGACTGGAGCAACACTCAGATACTTCAAGGTCAGAGGGCAAAGATTTGTTCCAGATTATAACATGTTTAAACTTAGCGAAGCGTCAATACTGCTCCCTGCTTGGGATTGACATTGTTCCTCATGAAATTCATCTTTAAAATCAAACCTATGACTTTCCCTTGTACGTAAATATAGATCTCTATTTATACCTTACTCACTTACCTTCTTAATTTCTGCTTGTTTTCAGGACGAGACCTCCCCAGCAATAAGGCTTTCCAGCTGTACCCTCAGGACAGAATTGTTCCTGTGGGGGGCAACACCACCTTCTGTTGCATTGTGAAAGAGGGGGAGGTCTTTGGTAGCATGTACTACGGCAACACAAATGTGAACGCAACGCGGCTGAGTAGACGGACATATGCCATGACAGTGGTTAATCAGGGGCCATCTGGACAGACGGGAACCAACGTGGTTTGTTTCACGAGCAAGCAGAAGCTGACGGGCGCAGTCGTGTTTAATGGATGTAAGACGAACACACAGATGAATAAGCGTGCGAATGGTTGTCATGTAACACACGGGCGAATGTGGTTGGAGTGGCAGAGAGGTGGATTTAGTCATTCAGAGCTTGTCTTAAAAATATATCTTCAAAATTGTGTGTATCTTTTCAATCTTCAGTTCTGTTCTGTGTGTGATTGTTCTCTTCCCCAGATCCACCACAACCCAGTGATTTTGTGTGCGAGACTCACGATTTAACGTCAGCCGTGTGCCAGTGGAACGGAGGACGAGACACTCACTTGTATGGCAAACGGCAAACTCGCTACTCGGTGAACAAAAGGTACGCGGTCACTCTCACAAACACAGCAGTTTACTTTGAACCTTTTTAATACAGCTGTACGCACTCAAAGCATCCTGTAGATTCTAAAATACACGCAACAGGACACATCTGAAACCTGGAGTTTCGTCATGAGCAGCGGCGTTAATAGCAACACCGTTATTACTGCAAGACGACAGAAAAATTCTGTGACAATGAAATTATGGTCAAATTTTCCCAGCGCTACAATTCAGCCCGTAAAGGTGCACAATATGACGCGCTTCAGATCAGGATCTTACAGCACGGCAATGGTTGCAACCAAGACTTTCTGAATTCTTAAGAGGATGAGCTTTAAAATTTCAAGAGCAGTGAGGGGTTTTATGGATGATGAACACTTTAAACAAATCTGTTTGTTCTCTTGCCAAAGTGTGAATAATGTGAACAACCCCCAATAACAATAAGAATACGAATAAGAATAAGAATAGTCATTGTTGTTAATTAATTTCTTCTTCTTCTTCTTCTTCTTCTTCTTCTTCTTGTTTTTAATTGTTATTATTATGGTTACTGTTATTGTTACTACGGTTATTGTTCATAATAATGATAATAATAATCATTGTTTATTTATTTTGTATTATGATGACAGTTATTGTTGTTGTTGTTGTTATTGTTATTATTATTATTAATAATAATAATAACAATAACAATACAGTAGGCACTGATGCTACTGAACCTTTCTAAAAACTCTGAGCTGCAACATTACCAAATTTCATACAGTACAAATAAGGATTGTAGACATTTCCAAAGCTTTGTAAAGCCCAGTGTGCCACACTGCATATCTAACTCTGATCCTAAACATTATAAAACTGTTTGTATCTCAGTAGAAAGTCGGCGGTGGCAGTGACAGAATGCAGATTTTTTTTTTCTTTGACCGTGGCAGTGACTGTGCAGTGCTTATTTGGGTCTGAGATAATATCTCTGAATTATTTAGTATTCTTCTCTCTGCTTTCTCTAAAAAAAAAAAAAAATGTTTTCTGTACAGAAAAAAAAAAAATCAACCGAGAGAGAGAGAGGAAGACGAGAAATATAAAGCACTTAGTCTAAGTAACCACTTGCTTCTGGGTGTCCATTTGATCGCGGATTGGCTGTCGTCCAGACCTTTTACAGGAACGGTCTGAAAGCTAGCCAGAGTGTGTCTGGGCATGTGTCCTCTTTTCTAGGTTAGACTGAGTATTTGAAGTGATTATGTTTTATTTTAATTGAATTACGTTGCGTTTATTGTCATACTCTCAGCAAATCTGCTGCTTATTATTTTGTGCTTGCCTTCTGTTTGGTTTGCAGGGCCTGTGCCGATGACAGCTCATGGGGGCAACAGAAGAACTGCAGCGTGCCTGAGTGGGAGGGTAACTGGACACTGGTAGCTGTCAATCTTCTTGGTCAGTACAGCCTCACAGACTCTGCTGAACTCAGCCACCGAGGTAGGCGACTCAACGGTCATCAACATCGCTGCACACATTGACCCCAATACGACCATTTAGAATAGGAATCCCTTTTTTATTTGTCCTTGGCTTACTGATGTTGTTTTACCCTTTCTCCCCAGTGCGTCCAGTGGCTCCAGTTGAGCTGAGCGCCGTCGTCCATGCCTGGAACGCCACCGTGCTGTGGCAGTTGAAGTACGACAGCTATTCTTCCCTGGCTCTCGTCTGTCAGGTCGAGCTCACCGGCGACGGCCACAAAACAAAGGTGAGCAGGTTCTGTTGCGGATATCACCTCCATCCCTCCTCCACATTCCTGTAGCAAATGAAAGCTTGTGCAGCATGTTCTCTCATTTGTGTCAGAATTGTTGTTCATGAAGTCTGATGTGTGTGTGTGTTCAGCGTACCTTCACCGGTGTGGGCCTGCGGTCTGTGGTCTTGTCGGACCTGCATCCCGATGAGGATTACAGTGTTCAGATCCGCTGCGGTGCCCAGCAGAATTTCTGGAAGTGGGGAAACTTGAGCAAACCATTTTCCTTCAAAACCAAGACCGATGGTAAATGATCATATTGTGGTGTCTCAGCAGCGATTTCTGTAAATCAGGGCTGCAAGTAATGATTGTTTTTTTTTGTTTTTTTATTTGATTGATGAACGAATGAGCAGTTCATATTTAATGACTTGAAGCAAGCAGTTATTGTTGCGTCATCCTAACTTAATTCTAAATAATTACTTCATCGAGTAGAATTGCCGTATAATTGTTCTAATGAAAAGCAGCAGTGTTGCCGTATTTCAGTTCAGTTATGCTGTCGTTGCTTTTTTTTTTGTCCTCTCTCAGTTCCAGATGCCCCTGATGTGTGGATGTGGAGGAACAGAGACGGAACTGGGCAGGTCATTTGGAAGGTAATGTCTTTGATTTCATCTCTGAATTGAGTTACATTTACAATTGGCAGTTTGCTTTATGCTATTTATTACTGCAGAAAGAGCAGATTTACATCATGCTCGCTTATTCTGCCTGCCCTCTGTTATAGTGTCTTTCTTTCTTCCTTCTGTCTCCTTTTACCCTCTTTCACCATTAAAATGTTTGACCTGTTTCCTTTCATTGTAATTTCTTTTAGCCTCTAACACGAAGACAGAGCCACGGTCAGCTCACAGGTTATGAAGTCACTTTCTGGAACCCTGAAGAGAATATACAGCACACAGAAATCTTGTCACCGGATGCGAGTGCTGTACCAATCAATCTCACACGAATGGCTTACTTCAGCGGTGACAGCAAGGTCATAGCAACTGTGATTGCAAAGAACGCCGATGGGGTGTCTCCGCCTGCAAGTGTGTCTCTACGTCTGACAGGTATGTACAAGTGGAGGGAGAGTGTGTGTGTGTGTGTGTGTGTGTGGGGTTGTTAACATATTTAAAGGCTGTAAGAAAGAAAGGAAAAAAGGATTTAGTTGGTTTCTTTTTATAGGCACAAGTTTAACCCTATGTGACATAGATAGTTCAATCAGTTAAACATTTTGGTTTTGTGTGTAGCTGGATGTTTTTTTAGTGTTTTTCAAGTGTTTCACAGTCATGAAATACAGTCGTGACTCGATAATCCGACGCTAAATGTAAAACCCTGTTTTATGTCGGATTGTCAAGACGGAGGTCGAGATACAAGGAGGGCTTGATGCTGGAAGGCTCATTAGTTGTTAATATTCATTGTATATAGTTGTTATAATAACTAGTACAACTGGTCCCAATAGCACTTTCTGGTTGCTTGATTTTCAGGCCCAAATAAGTGATGAATGTCCAAATATTCGGCACAGTCCGGGGCACACTTCCACCCCGGGGGAGCGTTCTGACGGGGTGGAAGTGTCCAGAACACACAGGCAGTACTTGGCTGCTGATGCTAGTTTAGTTAGTGGTCACACTTCTGTTTCCTCCATCGGTGGTGGTGGGGGAGTGGCAGATACGCTCCACCGTTACCATCCATGTTTACTTCCGTAAACACTGAGCACGCTCACTGCATCCTCTTCTGCGCATGCGGGACACTTTTGGGTCGTATGAAGTTCACACAGCAGATCACATACAAGTCGCATTTAACTGGAAACGTGAAGGAACTCGCAAAAACATCAGATTTCACAAAAAAATCTGAATTGCGCATTAAGTCCTGCAGTCTGAACGTAGCCAATCTGTGGGATTGTTCAGTCAGATAATACGCCGTTATCCTGATTGGTGACATTAAATGTCATGTTGGAGTCAGAATCCAAGGCTGTCGCTATGTTAAGGCTGTTTTTAATGGGTTCCATTTGTTTTTCCTAAAAACCTGTCGGATAGCAAGATTTAGGATTGTTAAGGGTCTGATTATCGAGTCACGACTGCCCTTGAAAACACTGAAAAACTAAAGCCATCGTTACTTACAAAAAGGAATGAAGACTTGCAGCTTTCACATCGCTGTACATGTTTTCTTTCCAGATGTGGAGCCTCCAGCTGTGTCCAGGGCAGTTTATACAGACGAAGGCTTCCCTCTGTTCTGGCAGAGCAATGCCAGCGCCACCTGTGGTTACGTGCTAGAATGGCATGAAACCTCCTTCTCATGTGACTGTCCTGTGGAGTGGATAAAGGTGCCTGCTGGAGACACTAATGTCACCGTTGAGTCAGGTAATGCAGGCATGCTGGTGTGTGAAAACAGAGCATCGTTTTCAGCATATTTTAAATGTATTTTTTTACAGCTGGCACAGCCTAAAATATCCCCTATCTTTGTGAAAAATGTAATTATGTTTTATAATACATAAGAGTCTTTTTTTTCCCCCCTTCAGTCAATTTCAAGCCGGGTGTGAGATACAACTTCTCCCTGTACAGCTGCCCCTCAGATTCCCCAGAGCTGCTGCAGCGCTGGCAGGGATACACACAGGAGCTGGGTAAGGACAGCGCTGCATGTGGAAAGCTTCTCCTGACAGAAGAAGCCATTACATCAGAAATCACACTCGAAGCCTCTCTCTTCCGTTTGCTTACATCCCTTCCTTGCGCCTTCCACAGTTCCCTCTGGGTCCGTCAGTCTGTCAACCACTCAGCAAGACTCTGACGTTCTCCTTACCTGGGGATCGATTCCGATGGTCGACAGAAGAGGATTCCTCTTGGGCTACAACGTTTACATCAGTAATGGTTCCCAACTCGCACTTATAGGTAAAAGGAACATACGTAGTTCTTCATCAGAATACGTTGAAATGCGTTTTGTATCCCCAATGAACACACTCGCCTTCATTTTTTCCTCTTTCCTTACTGTGCCTCTCTCTCCCTTTCTGTTTTGTCCTTTTGAACAGCCAATTTGTCAGACCTGGAAGCCAGCAGCTACACAGTAAAGGGTCTCTCTCTGGGCTCTTATAAGTTTACTGTCAAGGCCTACACTTCAGCAGGCGAGGACACAGGCGCCACTGCATCTATAACGCTGGAGCCATACAGTACGTGAATATTTGTATAGTTATTATATCATTAATGTTAGAGGAGGAGGGTATTATTTTTTTTATATAAATGCTCCTGATGCCATACTTGGCTTCAGTTTACGTTGTGATTTATGCTGAAAAATAGCCATCTCACGTCCAATATTTTTCATATTTTCCTTGTCCTGTCTTGGCAGCTGATTGGCTCATCCTGGAAATGTTGGTTTCTTTGGGAATCATCTTCCTAACACTGGTCATTGCCACCTTCATTTGCTACAAGAAAAGGAACTGGTGAGTCTGTTAACGAGTCTCAATAATTTAACAAGCAACATGTTTAAGGAAAGCAAGTAAAAACCGGATATGAACAGCAGCTTATCCTCTCCACTCTATCAAAGAGGAGCTATTAGGAGGGATTGTTTTGAATTGTTTTAGGCACTGGATGATAATATGTGCATTTTGTTTGAACCAGGGTGAAAAAGGCATTCTATCCGGACATACCTGAACCCAAGCTGCCCAGTGATTGGTCCAGTGCACAGGTACAGTATCAGTTTAATCCAGTCAGGACTAACTTCCTCATGTGCTTGTAATTTACTGCTTCCTATTTTAGTTTATTTTTTCCACATCCAATGAAAAGACAACAGTGTTAAGTTTCTCTGTGTGTCCTTCAGGGCCCGATGGATGTGAAGCCGTCTCCCCACAGTATGGTCCATATCGTAGAGAAGCCTGAGTGGGATTCCAGTAAAGAGGTGCTGGTGGTCATTCCTGAAGAAGACGAGGACGACGAGGGGCACGGGATAGGAGATGAGCCGGTCGACACAGATGAGCCAACGTCATTACGCTACTACAACCAAGTGGTAGACGAGCGCCCGATAAGACCACGTTTTCCAGATTCCTCTGCTTCTTCCGCGTCTTCGTTGGATTCAGCACACACAGATGTAACGTACACTGGGATCCAGACCTCCGGGTCCTCTTTGGTCTTCCAGCTGGATCCACAGGGCTCCTCTGAGGGCCACCAACCCCAGGCTGATCACTCTGACGGCAACGGAGGTGGAGGTTACCAGCCACAGATGCAATCTCGAGCCCCGAGCGATGGCATGGGCCTCGCTTCGGCTGAGCCTTTCTTAGAGCCCCAGGCTGCCTGTTCTGGGGGCTACAAACCCCAGAGGTCCTGGCATTTGGACTCCCCCGAGGAGGCTCAGGAAAGGGGGAGCCTGGCACCCTCTCTGGGATCCCCCACCTCTATCGCTTCCACTCAGTTCCTCCTCCCCGATGGAGAGGAACACGAAGACGAGAAGCGACAGCAATCATCGGCAGCAACGTGGTTCACCAACCTGCTGTCGTCCACAAAACCATGATATCATCTCACTTTCACTACACAGCAGCCAGGCCAGGGGGGTTCCCGTAAACGTTCTTTTCCATTACTGTTGCCAGTGTCATGTATCAACAAGCCTAACCTGTGTGGTTTAGGTAAACGCCCCCTCTGACGTAGCACCACGGTGTTTCAGCTTTTTAAGGTGTTTTTACAAAACATACAGAAATGCATATCTAGTTATTTTGTCTTCCTTGCAAACATCATAAATCAAAATCTGTATATTTGTATATCAAAACATTTCTATCTTAGCAACAAATCTGGTCAAACGATTTGTTCTTATTGCTTTTAAAGCCATTTTTAATGCCCCCCTGGGAACCTGGTGGCTGTTAGATCCTCTCACTGTCTTTATTGTGACACGGTGTAATGGGCATTTTAAAGTGGCATATCCTGTGTTTCAGTTGATTATGTCCAGTTTCTAGCTTGCATTTCAGATGTTTTTTTTGTGACGTGAACTGTACTACACCGAAGAAGAAAACCGAAAGCATGAACGTTTCAAACCCGATGACGGCGCCGGCCGTAAAACCACGGAACGTTTCTGGAAGAACGTTACAAAATCGGAGACAGCTAAGAGAACAGAAAACGCTCCTCCCGTTACAGCACCCATGTCTCCTGCTGGTCCACCGTCGTGGTCGTCTTGCCTGCTTTTGGACAGTTGATGAGCCACTAAAAGGAAAAAAAAAATGTAAAGGTGTCACTTCCTGGATCAAAGGTAGCTTCCATCGTGATCTATTTTTCACTAATTACTGGTTGAACAGATGTTAATTGAAACATGCACTTATGAGAACAGTCATAATTGCACCGAGATGCAGGAGCGATGCTTTCTATTATGGTCTGGAATTGCGTGGGTGACGAGCCCATTGGGGTTATACACTGATATAAGCTAGAACATGAATTCAAAACTGATGTAATTTAATGAATGAACACTATTTTGTTACTTTTTTGAGTGTTTTTGTTAGAGTTTATTTTTTATTTTTTCCTTGTTAACAAACACATTTCACTGTCAGGCCAGTGTCCTTTTGTTTTCCTGCTATGTCTTGTGCACTATCCTGAAGTCGATGATTGGTATCAAGCATTTTCATGTATAGGAGTTAACCTTTGGGGGGGTAATTTCAATGTTTTAGTTGCCTTGCTAAAAGTGATGCTTCCAGTGATTTGCACCGTATCACCTTTCACACACTGCCTTACTCCTGAATCGTTGCAATGCAGTTCACAACTGATCCAAAATACGTTATTTCAGACTTATATATATTCCACTGGCACTGAGCGTAATGTACACCAGATGTCCGTTTTAGTGAGTGGTTTAGTTTGATTTGGTTGCCCCCTGAGTGTATTTGTGTGAAGCAAAGAATTCTTTGATTGTTTTATTTTTTTAAACCCAGACTTGGGCAATAATGAATTTGATGTGGATTTAATATGGATTTGAGATGATTTTAAGCTTCTTTATTTTCCAAGAGATCCAAGTCTACACTACATTTTATTTTTTTAATGTCGCTCTCTTCTTGTTGCTTTTTGTTTTGAAGCAAACTTGTTGGTTTTATAGTTGGAAAAAGGGACCAAGGGAAAAGCATAAATTAGAAATGAAAGAGAGTTTCCAGAATTGTCGACAGAGACCGGGGAAATTACCTCGCTCGCTCGACAGCTCTTCAGGTTCACCACAATCGCTTGGGTACGGTGTGTGTGCTAAGGATGCACCATTGGCTAGACTTCCCAAAAGCATCAGTGTGCAGAGCTCATCCTTTGACATACTAATGCAGTAAACAGGATGTTATTTTATTGTTGGTTTTTTTTTTTTAGAGTCGAGCCCTGGCTTGCTAGCGTGGCAGCCCTCGGGTTTGTTGTTTCTCAGTGCCTCCAGCCAACAAGCTTTAATTAAAACTACTGTGACATGAATAATGACTCGGATTAACCATGATGGATGTCTTCACAGATGAAGTGGTAACAGGCAGGCAGTCGGTCCTCTTTTGACTACTGAGAAAAATGTATCCCCCCCCTTTATTTGTCTTGCCAAACTGATCAGAACTTTTGACTAATTGCTAGAAAGCTACACTGAGTGACTGTGTGGGATCAGTCATTGTTTGACGGCAGTGTTAAAGGGTGGATATATTTTTGAGTATTTAAATATGTGTGCAGATTGCTTTCCTTTGAAGCGTGCTGTCTTAAACAAGCAGGACTTCAAAGATTTTATTGTTACGTGATTTATGTTGATTTGGATCAACACATTCGCACCTTTTCATTTTCCTCTAAATCAGCTTTTTTTATGCAACTAACTGTACATAACTGTCATTTTCTGTCGTTTGTTTTTGTTCTTACAAAACAAGATGTGTTACATTAGATGAGATTATATGTCCTGTACTATAAAGATGACTAACCAGTTTTCTTCAGAGAAAAAAAAGCAAATGTTTGTGTTGCTGCCGCCAGATTAAGAGTCATATAAAATGTATATTTGTCGTGTGCTTATACACATGAACAGTGTTGCTGAAGATTCATGTAAACTGAATTGTGATCCTGTTTTTTTCCAGTTTTGCCGGCTTTGCATTGCTACCTTATCGCTTTGGAAGACACAGTATGAGTCGGGCCTGTGTGCTGCTGACATTCAGTTTACCTTTCACCACATTATGACATCGTCCATCCACATTTTAAACGGGAACTTGCGCCGCACAACGTTGCAAATCCGTGGTGTATACAGCTGAGTAAACCGGCTGCCTTACACGTCTTCATCTCTTGTCCTAGATGTTTTTTGTGAAATCGATGCATGCTGCATAAACTTATTACTACAAAACAGTGGCTCATAAACCCTTAAAGTCCATGTTTATGTTACCCGACGGCTTCCAACACTAACACTGACTAATGTTGTGCATGACAACATGACTGAAGCATTGTGCGTCAAAAAAAAAAATGCCTTTGTTACTGAAAATGCTTTAAAATTCATGATATTTTGTAGATTATTTTATTGAATGAAAACAGACGGTGAATCGCTGAATAAGTAAATGTTAACACTAATAACACAAACTGAGATGCTACTTGTTTAAAGGCAATAAAGTGATTTGTCTGGCCACTTATCCGTTTTTCCACTGGTGTTTACTTTTCAATGTGTGCTGCTATTTGCCATCATCAGTGTGCTCAGCTGTCCTGTTAGCTTGATTTTCTGCCCAAAATGAGTTATTACCTTGTTTCATTGGGGTGAAGGATGCCTGCAAGTGTAGCTAAAAACACTATCAAGATTCAAGATAAGCTTTATTTGTCACACACAGAACAATGTGCAGTGAAACGTATTCTGCACCAGCCTCCAGTTTCAATAAAGAGAAAATAAAATAAATTCCTTCCCCTCTCTGATATGACGTAGTGCAGGTTCTGGATCAGTTTGTGGTCTTTTCATGTGAAATCCCAGCTGATCCAGGGCCCCCCCTCTCCCCCTCCTCCTCCTCCTCAGGTGTCCTCCTCCAGCACCCTGTTGACGCGTCACCATGGCAACGGCGCACCGTCGGGATTTCCGTCCTCCGTCGTCTGTTTTTCAGCCGTTATTAGTGAGCTAAACAGTCCTACCGGCGGAAACAAGTGTGCAGCGTTTTGTCTGAGCCGAGAAGCAAGCCAAATGTCGGACATACTGTGCAGGTGGCTGAACCGGGACCTCCGGCTGTCCAGGGCTGTCGGTGAGTGTCGGTGGAGCCGCAGCACGTCCAGCTAGCTGCTAGCTTCACGATGCTAACGCTAAGTCC